ATAAATAATACAAATATTGTGTATTTTTTATTAAACAAAGAGTGAAAAATTCATTGATTTTAATGCTATCCATTGTGTTATAGACTATTGATATGTAATACCTTTCTCTCACAGTAATACAGTGTGAGAATCCACACAAATAAAGCACATACTAGTCTCATTGTTTAAATTCTATAAACAAGTTAAAACTAAATTAAAGTAAAAAATATCAGTGGCTGACTCACATATGGTGGGAGTAGGGCATGACAGAGAGGGGAAAATTACAAAAAAGAAAGAGACAACTTTAAGAGTGGTTATTTGTTCATTACACTGATTTTTATGATTGATTACCAGGTGAGCCCCAGTGTTCGTATATATCAAACTATGCACTTAAATAATTATGGGATGTTTATTATGTGTTAAAAATGCCTTATTAAAACTATTGAATATAAACAAATAAATACTTTAAGTTGAAATAACTGATGGAGAACAGACAACAACATAAGACATCCCTGAAAATAAAAACCAAAAATTAAGTGCTACATATTTAAAAAGCATGATAAAATAATGAGAGTCTTTCTTTTGCAAATGCCATTCTTTTCACCAAACTCCCTCATGACACTGCCATCTGCTCTGGACCCTTCCTTCTTTGAAAAATTCCACCCCAAAGTTTGCCATACAGTTGGAAACATGCTAACAGGACCCTCCTTCTGCTGATGAAAACCAGCCCAGTCCTAATCCTGCAACTCTGGGAGAGTAGTCTTAGTCCTATGATTCTCACGTGTTCCCATTCAGGGAGCAGGACTGAATACAGATAAAGCAATATGGAGTTTGAACTCAGCTGACTTTTTCTGTACTGCTGTTTTCAATGGTAATTCAAAGACTAGATATATTGAGAGAGTGAGAGAATGTGAGTGAGAGAAATAGCGGATATGTGTGGCAGTTTCTGACCAAAATGTATCTGTGTTTGCAGAAGTCCTGCGTGAGGTGGAGTTGGTGGAGATTGGGGAGGTTTAGACCAGATTGGAGGTTCTCTGTGACACTCCTGTACAACCTCTGGATTCACGTTCAGTGACTACTATATGCAATTAGTGTACCAGGTTTCAGAAAACAAGACTGGAGTTGGTTGGTCTTGTTACAGACAAAGCTTATTGTTACACAACAGAATATGCTATTTTTGTTAAAGTCAGATCCAGCCTCTCAAGGGATGGTTCTCAGAACACGCTGTGTCTGCATATGAACAGTCTGAGATCCAAGGACACAGCTGTATTTTGCTGTAGAGGAACACAGTGAGGGACCTCAGTTGAGCCTAGAAACAGAGGTACCATAGGGGCAACACAAACACCAGAGGGCTCAGGGTCACCAGGCACTCAGTCCTTCTCAGGAGCAGGTACAGATGGTTGCTGAGGACTGGTTTACTGCCATGCCTACAACTGCCTCTTCACTGATTTCTTTGGGAATCTGCTTAGATGTGAAATTCTGTAGTAACATTTAACATCTCAAGATACACGGTGTTCTTGTCAGATTCTTTATTTTTATTTGCAGGACACATTCTCACTTGCACCAAAGCCAGTGTGTGGTTTTAGTCCTGAACACACCCTCTTATGTCCATGAGGATCAGAATCCTGAGGAAGCCCTAGTGGTGTGAGAAGAGTATTCTAAGAGATTCAGGGCAGGGATCTGGAATGTTTCCTGACTTGAATAGATGTTTAGAGTAAGTTAAGGGCCACAGGGTTGCTGGATCAGGGCCAGTGTCCCTAAAACCATAGTCAGGGTCACATCAATCCTTCTCTTGTAGAAATGTACACATGACTCAGAACTCATCCAATTGCCCTTCCTAATAATCTATTTTATGTATTTCTAGGCCTTACTCTCATACCTCACACTTTTCCATTTTTATTCTATTAATAGAGGATGTGTTTCTGTTGTCTAAATCCCAGGACTGAAGGCCTTTTCAGGAACTCATGTGCTACTCATGGTGAGTCCCCAGAATAGCCGGAAAGAAAGACGGGAATTTCTCCAGTGTCACTTATACATAGTGAGATAAAATGCCTGCTTCGAGTAATAGGGCAATGATGACTTCAGGGTTCTTTCGTGCTTTACTCCATTAATCTTCAAAGGCATCACAGCATATTTACGTTAATTTCTGATTATCAAGAAAACAATATTTTCAAAAATCCATCAAATAAGTATTATTACAGGAAAAAACACCTCCTCTAAAATTCAGAAATAGGATTACACAGAATCACAGGGGAAATCATTTTATCTGGATCAGAAATGTATGGAGTCTCAAACAGTGACACTTGCAAGGTAATTACCATGAATGTCTGGTGGCAAGTAGAAACTAGTCTGAGGGGAAGAGCTTCTAGAGTCCCCACACATTGCACTCCACTTTCTCTCGATGACCTACACATTCTCATAATGACAGTGTAAATAGATACGATTTTGGCTCTGAAATGTTCAGGACTAATTACTGACATACACGCAATGGTTCCTCCAGATGCACTATCCAATGGAAGAACTTTTGCATAATATTTACCTATGTGGGGGAAAAGAATTATTCCACACAGCAGACTTCACCCCCATCCTCCCTTATCCTGCAAATAAATAAAATTAGGAAATGAAGGTAAGATTTATGAAATTGTTTTGGGATACTGCACCTAAGGGAGACAGTAAAAAAAAGAGTGAAAATTATTTGTACATCTGGAAACCCTTTGAAGAGGTCACAGAACAGAGGTAGATGGCCAAAACACCACTGAGTTTAAATTATAGCTACACATCATGATCCTCTGCCTCACTCCTTACCTTCTCATCAATATGATTAATCTGGATTAAACATGAACAAAGACAGTGCATAGACACTGGCTAAGAAGAAGAACTTAGGGAAGTCCAAAAACAACAGAAAAGAAAACCTCCAGAACAGTAGAGTACTTTGAAGACTCTAATCCCAACAGCTTCCAGACTTAGAATAGGTAGGTCTTCCTCCTTGAATGCTGATTAATTTTTCAGGAGGCACCTGCTGGGTTTCCAGGTGAGAACAGCTGAGCCCAACATGCATGCACTTCCCAAGACTCCTCTTGTATCCTGCTTTCTTTTGGCCCATTTTTAGAAGCAAGTCACAGACCCAGGTCTAGTGGAGTGAGCACCGCCAATGTTCTAGATACTATGAAGAAAGAAAATTAGGGTCTATTACTTTAAAAATTATTCAAAGTGATAGAACCATTTGCCTGTTTGAGTATGTGGTGGGTACGTAATTGCATCAGCTTGTATGAGGGTTTGTAGCCTTTGGGGTCTGTATTGAAGGTAATGCATGATGTGAACTCTCACCATATGACTCTAAAAAAGATAAAGACATCCCCTCAAATTTTTGTAGTAGTTCTAGACTCAACAATACATGGGTAGGGTTTCCTGACAGGTTTCAAAAAATATCTTACTTGGGGCCACACTTTAGAGAATTAGCTGGTTTTAGTAAGGGGAATTCACAATTTTAAGTGATGTTTTTAAAAACATAGGTGTCAGTTAGAATGGCCATCATTAATAAAACAAACAACAGCTGTTGCTGATGAGGATGTGGAGAGAAAGGAACGCTTCTATACTGCTGGTGGGAATGTCAACTAGTGTAATCTCTTTGAAATACAGTGTGATGACTTCTGGAAGACCTAGAATTTGACTTCTGTATGACCCAGAAATCCTCTAATAGGAATACACCCAGAGGAACTCAAGTCATTCCATCAAAAATATATTGTACATGCAGGTTTGTTGCAGTTCTACTCACAATGCAAAAACATGAAACCAGCCACACTGTTCATCGAAGCTGGACTGGATAAAAAAAGTGGTACATATACATATCAAGGGGATATTATAGAGCCATGAAGAAAGACAAACATATGGACTTAACAGTAACTTGGATGGATTTAGAGTCTATCATACTCTGTGATCTATCACAGAATAAAATAACAATTTACCATTTGTTCTCACTCATACACGGACTTTGGTCAACTATCATAATACTATAGGGAAGTGATTGGCAGTAGTGGGTAACTGGCAGGAGAAGGGAGTTGGGATTGGCAGCTGAGGGAAACTGACAACAGTTGGGGAGGACACTTCGACAACAGAATACCTGCTTAGTGAATATTAGTATACCTAAAACTGAATTGTACCCCACATATTTAAAATGCAAATAAAGATATTAATTAAAAAAAACTAAACAAAACAAAAAATCATAGGGTGTCACAGAAGCAGCATTTTGGACACATGTACAACTTTTCTTTCTAGGATAGAGAGGGGAAGTTTCTCTGTGAAACCAGACAGAAATTTCTCTGCAGAGCAGGAGCTGGGCAGCAGGGGGTGTTCAGGACACACCAAACAGTTTCTGGCCCTGAAGTAGGTGCACATGAGGATGAGAGGGGAGGGATTTCTCAGCATGGGTCTTTTGGTTTCAAAACAAAAAATCAGAAAAAGGTAAAATAGAAATTTAGCAAAAGTGGTTATGTGATTTTAAGCTTCGGACTCCACTTGGAGCATAAATTAAACCAAACAAGACAAAAAGAAACACATTCAAAGAAATAAATTTCTAGTGTTTTCAAATATATTAACATCTAGAACGTGAACATGCATAGTTTAATTACTTGAATATCTGCAAATATCTTGAGTAACATTTTGCCAGGAGGCAGATTTGCAGAGAAAAAAAGTCCAGAGAGGCTTGTGTACCTGTGTGCCACTGGAACGTGGGGTGGCTCACAGAAATTTTCCTGTGGACATTTTCTTATAAGTTCTGGATTCAAGAACTTCTGGGCATAACAGTGGACAAGCATTATTAAACAAGAATTAGAACGTGGGCTTCAGGACCATGGTTAAATGGTCCATGTGTTATCAATCTTCTCTATCTCATCCTGGATCATTTTTGAACTATAAATTGCCCTGTCTAATGAATATGCAAATAATCTGAGTACTGTCAAGGTAAATACAGATATATCTGTGCTCTGAGAGGAGCATCCACCAACCAATTCCCTTTCCTAGAGAAGCCCCTGAGAGCACAACTCCTCATCATGGATTGGAGCTGGAGAATCCTCTTTTTGATGGCAGCAGCTACAGGTAAGGGGCTTCCACATCCCAGGTCTGAGGAAGGGACCAGGGTCTGTTCAGGGAGATTTCAACTACCCCTGTCCCCTGTCCACAGGTGTCCAATCCCAGGTGCAACTGGTGCAGTCTGGGGCTGAAGTGAAGAAGCCTGGGACCTCAGTGAAGATCTCCTGCAAGGCTTCTGGATACACCTTCACAGATTATGATATGCACTGGGTGCGACAGTCCAATGGAGAAGGGCTTGAGTGGATGGGATATATCAACCCTAGCAGTGGTGGAACAAGCTATGCTCAGAAGTTCCAGGGCAGAGTCACCATGACCAGGGACACATCAACAAACACAGCCTACATGGAGCTGAGCAGTTTGAGACCTGAGGATTTGGCCATGTATTATTGTGCGAGAGACACAGTGTAAAAACCTACATCCTGAGAGTGTCAAAAACCCTGAGATGAAAAGCAGCTGTGCTGGACTGAGGAGGATGATGAGACTCATGAAGATGAATTTTTCTTAGACAATGTTGTTAGGCAACTGTGAAGAAGAAACAATTGAATCATATATAGACTCTAATTATATAAGTAATATTCTGTTAAGCAATCACATTTTACGCAGAATATACCGACTGGAGAAATCATTCCTGTGTACATATGTGAGGAGACATGAGTTTTCAAATCTGATAAATAAGATTTCAAGATTGTTTCTTCACACGGTATGTCAAACTATAATTCTTAAGAATTAGCCCAAATATATTCCCCAAAATTCAACCCTTACTTCAACACACAATGACAGAGTAGATTTAGGGTCACAGTAGAATTGAGAAGAAGGCATAGCGCATTCCTGCACTCCCTTTTCCCACATGCACAGTCTTCCCCACTATCAGCATTGTGCACCTGCATCCTATATATGCTACAGTGGGTGGACCTTCATCAACATATCATTAAATTCCCCTCCTGATGTTTCCTTGACATAACAGTCCTACATTATCTGAAAACACCACAGATTTTCCAAACGTGTTACAGAGAGATTTGTCAATAGGAGAGAAACCGAGTGAGACTATTTTTTGTTGCACTTTTCTTCCAGCACTCAGATATTCCTTGCATATTTAGAATTCATCTGAATCCTAATGTTGTATTATGCTTCATAGAGGGTATCATCCTCAACCTTTTTGAGGTAAGTGAAAATCTCTAGAAGACCAGCAGCTTCTGGTAAATATGATGAATATCCTTAAGGGAAATGGATCTTTTGCATAGCAAAAGAAAGCATCAAGAGAGCAGGGAGGCAACCCTCAGAATGGGAAAAAAATATTTGCTAAATATATATCTGACAAAACTGAACATACAAGATTTACAGGAAATCAAATGAGGTGAAAGAAAAAAAAAACAAAAACAAATTATCCTAATTAAAAAACGTGCAGGGGACATCATCAGACACTTCTCAAATAAAAATATATGAGCAGCCAACACATAAAAGCAAAAATGCTTAGCTTCAGTAATCATCAGATAAATGCAAGTCAAAAACACACTTAGATACCACTTATCCCAGTTATGATGGCCATCATTAATAAATAAAATATTTAAAAATAAATGAATAAATAAATAAACAATAGATGCTGATGTGGGTTTGGAGCATAAGGGCCGCTTCTTCACTCTTGTTGAGAGTCCAACCTAGACCAACCTCTGTGGAAAATAGTGTAGCAGTACTAAGAGAACTAGAAATTGACCTTCCATATGATTCAGCATTACTCTTCCTGGAAATATACCTGAAGGAGCACAAATCATTCTACAAAAAAGGATACTTGCACAAACGTTTTCATTGCACACTATTCACACAAGCAAAAACATGGAACCAAACTTACTTCCCATCAAAAGTAGAATAGACAGAGAAAATGTAGTACATACACATGATGGAATACTATGAAAATATAGGACAAAATCTTGGACTTTACAGCACATTGGATGTAATTAGAGCCATCATTCTTAGAGATCAATCACATAAACCAACAACAGGATACCACATATTCTCACTCATAAGTGAGACATGAATATTAATTACAATAATGCAATGAAGAAATTGGCAGTTGTGGGACACTGCCAGGGAACGGGGAAGAGGAAGAACTTAAGAATAAATGGTACCTGATCCTAAACCAGGGAAACTGATACTAGTTTTAGGCCCAAATGTCACCTCGACCTAGCTTTCTTATGTACCTAATCCCGACTTTTACCCAACATAATTATGAAAAATCAAGGAATAAGAAGAAGAAGAGGAGAGGGACCATGGCCATGAGTGATGTCATGTATGGCACACTGTATTTGGATCAGATGCACTGTAAGCAATTGGGAAGTTGTTCTGGATGAGGCTCTTTGTACAGAAAAGACAGCAGGGGTATTGGATCTGGTCAGAAATGATAGACTTCCCTAGAGTGGTTTGGCACCTCATGGTCTCCCTCTCAGGGGTCTATATTGGTCTTTTCTGCTCACTGCACATTATCCTGAGAGACATGAGTCTGAGTGGTCTTGGAGAAGGAGAATCCCACTGGAGTCATGGCTATGGGGGGCCTGTCATCCACCATCTGAGCAATTCCTTCTCCTTGATTATTGTTGGGTACATTTTGGAAGATGACAAGATGTGTGCAAGCATTCTTCCAGTAATTGTCCATTATGACACATGAACAAATTACTCAGCTTTCAGTACAAGACAGGTGCCTGCAGAGATAAACAGAATGAATATATATTCTCATTTTTTGCAGACCCTGACAAATGCTGTGTGTGGCGATAAGATCATTAAATTCAAAATGATTAACAAATAACTGAATGCTGAGAGTAAATAAGATAATGGGTCCCCCAAGGGACTGCTATGTGAAGAGCTCACATCTTCATGTAGGCTTTTGTTCCAGGAACTGTCCAGGAACTCAGAAAGGATTACAGAGAACCCTGAGAATAACCTTTATAGAGACAGCTGAGGGGAATTATTGCTAAATTTCAATAATAAAGCAATAAGAGCTTTATACATTATAAGTTGAGTTAAAATGCATTCATGAATACTGTGTCATGTATAAACATGCAATATGATAGGGATTTTCCTTATGTCTGCCTGTTTTATTTTGGGAAAAATGTACCCGATTTCCTTCTTTCATGGCATGTTCTTTAAGTTGAACATCTTTCTGTGGGTAACATTCCCCAGCCCTTCCCTCTGCCCTGCACATTTCTGTGTCTCTGTGTGATAAGTTTTCATCAGTAGAATAAGATGAGACAAGATCAAGTTATTGATCATGTGTGTTCTGGCATTTCTCTACATCTCCAAGAGTAAGATGTCAGTTCTTCACAGACCAAAGCCTTCAGTGGACAAAAAGTAGCAGTGGAAAGCCATGTATTTTTGCAACTAATGCAGCCCAGTTCCACCAAGAGTCAACATCACCTTGTGATATCCCAGGGCATCTCCTGAGTGATTTTATTAGCAGCCAACCCTCAAGAAACTGACTTGAAAAGTACTATTCTCCCTTCCATATAAATGAAACCTTCCCATGTACTTTTTGTAAAGAAACAGAAAAAGTTAAATATAATGTATTTCTTCTGATCTGCCCTTTCCTGCAGGATAAGGTTATTATTCCTGACGGAAAAGAAGGGAGGTGGGTCTGGACACAGCTTTGGTGCTTTCCTTCCGTTCCTTCCAGTATCTTGGATGCCTCTCATGCCTGTAACAAAGTGGTTTTTGTGGTTTTACCCCTGTAGATTAATTATTTGGTGATTTAGTGGTGACAAAGGAGGAGTATTTGGATATTTTTCAGCAATAGTTGCTGTTCCCCTTTTTCAGGAAGAATCATGTCAAGAGGTAAATAGTGGAGTTTTTGCAATGTATCCCCAGTAGTGGAGAAAAAGTCTTCAATGGCAATGAAAACGCCTCAATTACATATTTCCTGAGAATTTCAACTCTATCTCCATAACACATTAGACTTTAAGAAATACAAGGGATTTGTCTAATTTAATTATTTACTAGAATAATTTAATGCTCACATGAAATTTGGCAGCCTGTGTTACAGATACACTCATTGTGCTTTTGTTTCTCCTCTAAGTGATTGAGATTTTAGGAGTTATGTTTGTCCTATAATATTAATTATCTGATGTAAATAAGAAATTTAGCTAATTTTCATTTCCTTCAAGTAGATGTTTTGAAAAAGTAATAAAATGTTTTCATATGTCTACATCACCAAGTATAGTAGGACATTTGTTTGTAAAACTCAGAACTATAAGCAATGCAAATATTGTATAGTTTTTAGTAAACAGTGATAGATTCATTGATTTGAATGTTATCCTTTGTACTAATTAATAAATTATTAATATGCAATAATTATGGCTAATATGCAACAATATACAATCATGTAGATTTACATGTAAGTGTGCTATGTAAGAATTCACACAAATAAATTCTAGAAAATGGGAACTGTTTTAAAATAAAAAATGATCAGAGACTGACTCAGGACACGGTGGGAGTAGAACATGGCTGGGAGGGAGAAATTACAAAGAAAGAGGAGGAAACTCTAATGGTGATTAGTTTGTTCACTATAATGATTGTTAAGATTGATCCCCAGGTGAGCACCAGTGTTGGCAATTATCAAACTGTGCACTTAGATAATTATGTGATGTTTATTATATGCCATCAATGCTTCATTAAAGGTATTAAAAACAAACAAACAAATAATTTAAGTTGAAATAACTGACAAACAATAGACAACAACATGAGAAATCCCCGATACCTGAAAAATACAACTATGGCACCACTTTCTCCTTACATTGTTTACATGAACATAAGAGTGTGAATAAGTCACACCATGTCCTTATTATCAAGAATGGGGCTCTGAAAATCTTACTAAGAATGTCCCACTTGTACTGAGCTTGTTTCAGGGAGCAGTCATATCCACAAATGAGGAGCAAAGACCCAAGTATCTGGGTCTTGCATATTGGGAGTGAACCCTGAAAATATGTGCTTCTGTTTGCAATTTTATATCTATAATATAGAATTATTGCTGATATTACATGAAATGTTTTCTTGCATAAGTAAAAACAATAATTGTTACAAGGCTTACATTAACTACATGTGTCTTTTGTAGATTAATTTTCCTTCAATAAAACTTTGAAATTAAAAACTAAAAATCAGGTGCCATGTATTTATGGAAACAAAAAACAATAATGAAAGATAACATTTTTCTTTTCTTTTTTTTTGAATTGGAGGCTCACTCTGTCACCCAGACTGTAGTGCAGTGGCCACTTTCGGCCACCGCAGCATCGATCTGCTGGACTCCGGTGATCCTTCTGCCTCAGTCTTCCAAATAACTGGAATTACAGGCATGCGCTACCACACCCGGCTGATTTTTTTTTTATTTAATGTAGAGATGAGGTCTCGCTGCCCAGGCGGGTCTTCAACCTGCGGGCTCAGACAATCCACTCACCTCAGTCTCCCAAAGGCATGGG